AGGCGGTCTGCGTGACCTGGGCAGTGCCGGAGGAACGCGGGGATGAGCACGGCTGCGGAGGGAGGTGGGGGCACAGGGGTGTTTTGCACATCCACTATCCAAGAGGCCCTGCCAGCCCATTCCTTGCGCCGCCATGGAGTCCTTGGGGTGGGCACAGCCTGGCACTGCCCCACTGCCACCACCCCCGTGCTGCCGTCCAAGCACAGCGCTGCAGCAAGCACAGCCCGACCAGCTCTTCTCCGCTCCACTGGAGGGTGGTGTGTCTGCCCATGGGAGCTTGTCCTCACAGCAGTCCCCTCCTGCGTTAGCAGTTTCTGCTGCGGTTTCCAAGCTGTTTTTCCTCCTGGCTGTGTTTGGCTTTCCCTGCGTCTGGGAGCTGTGACTGTCACTGCAGCAGGAGCTCTTGGGCAGCCCAGAATTAATCCCTCTTGTCAGTGCAGAAGGGCTTTTCTGGAAGATATGTAGCTCTTAAAATCTGCTTGTCCCTGTGGAGCGGATGCTCTGTGCACAGTGCTCCCATGCACAGACCCCATGGGAGGTGATGCTGCTACACGGCAGAGCCCTGTCTGAGCCCTCCCAAGGGGTCCCTAAAGGTACAGGACTGTAACATGGATGGGCAGGGGTCCTCAGACTGCCTGGCTCTTGCACAGGGACACAGCACAGCCACTTCCTCTAAGGTATTTCCCCAGTTGGGTGAACATGTCACTGCTGATGCTGCAGGAGAAGACAGAGCTGGAACCTGGCTGTGCCCAACTCAGGAGGGATCTCTCTGGCCCCTGCCCTGCACAGGGGATAAGCACTTGCTTTGAGCATCCTCCAGAGATGCAACTGACCCAGGCTTAAAAACACCAGGACGACCACTCTCTTCTATGTGGGGAGCAGGATGTGGTGATGCCCATGTGCAAATTGTACTTTGTTTTTAATTATAAAATTATAGTAGCTGCCTTCATCTCCCATGCCAGAGACTTGCTTCAAAATCCCCTGGGGTCCCAGAACCACTCTCCCTTGCTTGCTACCCAGTTGGCTCCCAGCACCAGCACCCACTGCCCGGGGCTCAGTGCTCCCCCTGGGGTCTCCATGCTGCACCCATGGGTGCAGCCCCAGCATGGAGCAGGGATGGGGAAGTGCCTTGCAGCCCTGCTCTGCCCAGGGCTCACCCACTGACTTTCCACTCATCCGCCATCCACTTTCCTTCATCTTGCATGATCCACATGGTCCTCAATGTTTCCTTCCCATCTTCGTCCACAAAGCACTGGCCCATGGAGGTGGTGCTAGAGACTGCGGGGAAGGGGCGGGAGGCAGGAGAGGGTGCTGGGACGGGGTTTTCCCTCTGTTAGGCAGCCAACTTGCCAGCCTGGGAGTAGAAAAGGCTGCTTGCAGGTTGTTGATGTTTCCCTCCCCAGCCTCCTTTCCTGCTGGAACCACATACACAGCACTGGACAGGCATGGGATACTCATGACATGGCAGGATGAGCCCAGCCGAGCCTGCATCCAGCTCTGCCTCACCTCATCCTGGGCAGGACCTGCCTGGTCAAGAGACAGAGGTGGGGATTGGGAGGTGCCACCAGCCACACAGCTCTGGGGTTGGGTATGGGGGAGCACTGAGGACACCACAGGAGGGCAGGCCACCATCAAGAACAACACTGGGAGGTCTGGGGAGCTCTGGGGACACTGCAGAGATGGGAGGGCACAGAGGACACTGCAGGGAAAGGCAGGGGATCATCAAGGACACTGCAGGGGAGGGCTGAAGAGCATCAGGGACATCACAGGGAGGGCAGGGGACCTCTGGGGACACCGCAAGGAGGCAGGGAAAGGAGAAGCACCTGAAAAGCTCCAGTTGACGGTGAAGCCAAAGGTGGGCTGGCTCTTCTGGTTACTACGGTGCTGGGATCCCTGCAGTTGTGACACCTGGATCTCGTTCGTGGTGGCCGGTCAGGGCGGGGGGGGGGGGCCAAAG